TCTTCTGCAGGAAAACCCAGGCTGTGCTTCAGGAATTGTGCTGGATAGGAATAGGCCAGGTGTGTTGGCAGGAAGAGGTCCTCCTGAATCGGTGGGTGCCCTTTCATCTCAATGGTTATACTTTGTCAATTTGCTTTTTATTTTTTTTCCTCATCAATCACTAGGTAATTAGTTTAGCCTGATTAGGTGAAATGGGATGTTTGCTTTGGGTAGTGTTCCTCTTAATGAGTAAGTAGGCTTTTAAAATAGCAACTGTTTCTGTCTGGCATTAATAGGGCTGGATGATCAGTGTCTGTGAAGTGAGGAGGCTTTGAGAAGCAGACAAGAAATTGTGGCTGAAGGGGGTGGAATGTGTTAGGTCTGTCCATGTGTTTTATGGAGAGCCATGAGAATGGAAACCATACTTGGTGCTTGTGTATTATTCTTGTATCCCTTTTACAGCAAGACACACCCATGCTCAAATCTACAATTGTGGCTTTTTCTTTATAGCTTTAACACAGTCAAGGAAAAGCATAAATGGAGCAGGGCCTCTGGGTAGAGCTACTTCCAACTCACAGGCAACAGCTTCATAGAATATAGGTTACTTACCAGAATATCTTTATGCCAAGACTAGGTCTACACCAGTAACATAGCAACTGTAGGCACAAAGCTTAATTTTGATCAGAAAAATGGCAAGTAAATAAGCCACTGACATGCAAAGGGCACTTGTTTATGCCCAGTCTGATGATGTACACTAACCACATGAAAAACTGACCTGGGATGCTAATCTGAGTTAATCCAACCAGAAGTCTCACTTATTGCTGCTACTCACAGAATGGAATCAAAGGAAGAATGTAGCATTTAGATGGATGTCCTTTAGCCAACATCTGAAGAAATGCACTAACTGAAAATTTGAGTGTAGATGGAAGAAAATATACAGAGCATGGAAGGCTTGTGGTGAAGTACTGTTTGTGAGCTTTTCAATGCTTTTATTAAAATATTCATTTCAATCCTCTCTCATATACCTTCACAATTATATTGTATTTGACAAATCTTCTAAGCTTGGGTTATGATAATATTGTTTTTTTGGGGAAAAAATAGAGAAAACAATCAACCTGTGTAGCACTGCAACTGCACTTCTTCTGTCAGGAGTTTGCAGAGCTGTTAGGATCGTCTCCTTTCGGTTTGGGTTTTTTGGTTCATATTTTGTAGGTGCCTGTGGTTGCATCAAAGCCTGTAATTCCTACCTTAAGATGCAGTGAAATACTCAGTCACAACCTCATGGCAGCTCAGCTCTCTTTAAGGGGTTTCTTTGGTGTATGGGAAAAGCCAACACGTGGCCCAGCTGGTAGGAGCAAGTGGCAGGAGAGCATTGTATGAAAGGATGATTGTAAGGATAATGTTTGTTAGCAGTTGCGCGGCTACATTTTATACAAATATTCATGTTTTGACTGTAAATGTCTTTGACAATAGCTTACAGATTCCTCAAAACACATATTCCATTGGTGTTTTCCACTGTTTTCAAATATTCTGTATCCATTTTCCCCCTACATGATGTTCTTGTTTATCACCTGCTGTGCTGGAAGAAGTTTTGTCAATAGCTATGTAGCTACAGGACAGAACAGTGTGTGTTCATGTAAGTAGGAAACATGTGGCTTCTGCTGATCACAATGAAGTAAAATGAAGAGCTGGAGCCGTATGGGGTTCAGAATATATGTGAATTAAGCATTAGCTGAACAGTGCAGCATTCTGGGCTCAGTGTGCCATGTTTAGAGTCCAAAATAGCTGTGCATAATGTGCAGATGGTGAACTCCTGGAGGACTTTGGTCTTAGTTGTGGTTTTGAAGGGGTTGTGTATCTCACGCATACACAAGATGATCATTTAATGCCTTTGAACAGTGGCCTCAGCCAGATTAACATCCCTGGAGTGCCAAGGGTTATTGCCTCTGGGAAGAAGTCTATGCAGAGGAAACCCAGCAGTGATTTGAGTAATTTTTGGTAATTTGCTGAGTGTTTTGTGCTTCTTTGCCCTGCTTGATGTTTTAAAGTATCAGGCTGGGTCTTTAGACTCTCAAATGATATGTTGGCATGCTTTCTCCCTTCCTCACCAGGCTGGTATGATAAGAACTGATAAGGATGAATACTTCATTGAGCCTTTGGAAAGAGGAAAGCAGATGGAAGAAGAAAAGGGAAGAATCCACATGGTGTACAGGAGATCAGCTGTAGTACAGCATCCCACAGATCTTCTCCCTGATATCCATACAGAAGGTACAGTGCCCCTGTGCTGATGGTTTACAAATCTGTTCCAGGTAATAGCTATACAGTAGCTTTTGAAAGAGGCAATTTTGACTGAGCTCTTTGAAAAGCAAGCATGTAAATGTTTTGCTGAAATATGCCATTAGTCTCATACAAGTGGTTTCTCTGCCAAGCACAGCACACGTGCTTTTGATTGGGAGAGCAGAGCTCAGCCATGAAATGTTCTCGTCAGGAAATGCTGCAAAATGCTTGGCTTTTCCTTCCTTATACCAAGGGCAAAGTTTTTAGTGATTTGAGTGGAAGCAAGTCTCAGCTCTGCATAAGTTGGTAAGATACTGTGGGGCATAGGCTGTTAATAGAAGTATTCATATGTCTTTAATGTTCTAAGCTGTGATTAAGGTTTGCCTGTCCATGCAATTTCTGTTTTAAGTTTGTGTCTTGTTTCTTTCTGAGTAATAGCTGAATTCTCCTAACAACTGATACTGTTCTCCTCCTCCTGCTGATTGCAATTAATGCAATTTGAAGGCAGTTGTCTTGATGGGATATGTTTTGACACATCCGAGGTTTCCCCTCTGTCTCGAAGATAATGTGGTTGGTCCATCTGAGAATAATTTTTTTTTTGTTTAATCCATTTGCTTGTACATTTTTCCCCCCTTTTAATGTTACACAAATCCTTACAAGCCAATACATTGTATAGTGAACACAGAGGTTTTTGACACTCTGGGCTGAGGATGAAAGAGCAGCTTCATTCCCCTTCAGTGCTCTGCCTTTTTTTCAACATCTCTCAGCTTCTTAAATTCCCATTTGTACTTTGTGTTCATGTGTTCTTGGAACTTTAAAGGGTTTGAGAAGGAAAGAGCAGCTACTTACAACACAGAGAACTAGAATGAGATACAAATATTAAATTGAATCAGGAGCCCAGCCTCAGAATCTTGAATGTTGTTTCGGATTTGGTCCTTTGAGGGTTTTAATGACTTCAGCATCTTCCTTTTCCTCTGTTTGGTCAGAGGGAGCACTGAAGAACAGCAGCTACTTTCTTGTAACTCATGGTGATCTTACTAGTTGATGTCAAAGTCATGTGTCTGTAGCTGATCTCTTGCTTATGAAGAAGTTCAGACCAAAAAAGCTTGTTTCCTGCAGATCACTTTGCTGCATTCTTTGGCAGGAGGGATCTGTTTGTATGATGCTGTGTGTTGTTATTTTAGCATCTGCCTGGGAAAATCTCTGTAGTGTGTCGTACAGGTCACCCTGGCAAGAGGAACCAAGAACCAAAGAGGTGGATGCTGTTACAGTGTTTTACTGATGTATCAAACACGAAACATCATATCTCATCTTGTGTGATGCAAAATCTGCAGGTCAGAGAGCTGAACCCAGGCTATGTCACTTTATTGTACTTCCTGTGACTAGTACTTTAGCATTTATTTCCTATTATCTGCAAGATAGTTCTCCCTCCCCTTCCTTTGAAACTTTGAAGTACATATTTAAGGAAAACTGTTCACCTACTTTTCTGCCACTGTGCTTCCAACTGATCTGTTGATATGTTTTTAATTTCAAGTTCCTAGACTAATAGCCACAGATTTGTGGATAACTCCATGTATACCTAGCTGAAGGTGCTCAGTGGTGCCAAGGTATGGTCAAGTCCTGTAGAACATGCAACTTATCATGACAGGAAAATAGGGATGGTTTGTACTTTCTGGATTACTGCTGTATTTTAGTGGTGTGCTAAGACACCGAGACCCCTCCATCCCAAAAGTTCACATTCTTTGGTAAAACTACCTAGCACAGAAGAATTGCCAGCACAAAATAGAAAAGGGGGTCTTTTGGCTTCCATGTTGATGTATTCTGGCACTGCATTGGCTTTGCTAATCACTTGGGTCATTTGCTGATCTGTAAGGTTATTTATAACATTAGGGGAGTGGTGTTTGTGTGTCCATATCTGTGCCTGTTGAGCTAAATCAAACGTGAATTTGTCTTGACAGAAGATTTTTAACCTCCTTTCTAATGGACATGATACACACTAAAATTCCTCTTGATTATTGCTTTGCCAAACAGTTGGATGTGCTGGCAAACTGCTTTTTGGTACATACAGCTCATGTTGGCTTTAAAAGTGGCTGAAGAAGCTCTCAACAGCCCATATCTAGAAGGTTGGCTGATCCTGGCCCAGACAGCGGTAGGACATGCCTGTGCTTTTGGGAGGGTGCTGTACATGTTACAACTCCTCTTGGTACCTAGAACTTTCTCCTGAGAGGATTTATCTTAAATGAGTTTTCTCTTCTAGAGGTGAGTTTGCATGGATCTTGAATTTTCAGGTGAAGAAAACAGGAAGTCTTTTCCATCTTCCTGTTTTCCAAAGAAAAAAAATAGATGGAGGCTGGTTAGTTTTCCCTCCTGGTTACATTTAAGCTGGAGTGATTTCTTTGCTTTTAGCTGCCTTTTGCTATCCTTGGTCAAGCCCAGTTACTGACTGCTCCCAACTGGGTAAAGCCTGATCTTCATGGCACTATTCTCCATTTTTTACAAAGTAGGCTATAGTCTTGTCCACACTGGTGTTGGGTAGTTCCACTTTGGGTCAGACTAGGCACAACAAAGGAGTGAGTTATGTTGCCTTTAACCTTAATTCCTCAAGATGCTTTTTAAAATCCAAGCCTGTGAAGCTGAGGAAATGTTTGGCCCACGTAAGGGGTTAACAACATTGCAGCTCTTCTAAGTAAACAAATGGGAAGGGTTACTCATGCTCACAGGAAATCTCTCTTGCTTACGTTTGACAGTTTAAAGCTTTTGCACACATTTGAGATCAGGAAATAGAAACCTTTTGCAGTGGTTAAGTAGTCTGCTACATATTGATGCATGACAACCTTTCTCAAGCCTTTCCTCTGCCTCTGCTCCCTACCTCACGTGCCTGGTGCCCTGGCCAGAGGCAGAAATGCCATGTACCTGACCCCTGTCTCCTGACCCCTTAGAAGTTCAGCTGCATATTGAGGCAACACAGACAAGAATCCAAAGTTTCAGTAATAGATGACAGATGACTCAACGAACTAGTCATGAAGATTAAAAAGTACTTAAATTGCTTGTAGTCAGAGGTTATACAAACTAGGCACCGTTGTGTAAAAGCCGCCCTGCACACAGTGAAGTAGGACATCCTGCCTTTTGTTGTCTTGACAAGATACTCTTGTAAAAGCTTCCAACTCGAGCTATACAGAAGCTCTCAGTCTGATGGGACACCTGGTATTTCTGCGTGGTGGACTTCTTTCAAACAAGGGGGCAGAACAAGTGTGGGAGTTTTAAGTAAACAACAACAACTACTATGTAAAGATCAAGGATTTGGCAATGATTGCACGGTGGTGGAGCATCTGTTGGTTCATGTACTGTGTTCTCATAGAAATATGCACACATATGATTGATCTCCTCTTTCCTGTTTTTCTTTATTCTTTTCATTTGTTTGTGCTGTAGTTTCAGGAAGCTCTCTTAGAAAGGTTGTAACCAGAAATCTGAGTTTCTGGAGAAGATACTAGGGTGCCTGAAGATCCTGGATAGTTTAGGTTTAGCCTTTCTGCCTTGAAATGACAGTGTATGGCATGCACCTACCTGCTTGTTTTCATCATTTGCTTTGTGTAGAGATTGGTTTCCTCAGCAGTGCATTACATTCAAGACTCCAGAAATCAGATGGGAAATCCTGCCTCCTTCGTTTGAGGAATGCTGTAGGACTGCATTTATGGACAGGCCTTGGTTTTCCTTCCCTCGCCATTTGAACAGACTGGAGAGCTGGGCAAAAAGGAACCTAATGAGGTTCAACTAGAATAAGGATAGAGTCCTGCACCTGGGAAGGGATAACATGTACCAGTACAGAGTAGGAGTTGACCTGCTGGAAAGCAGCTCCATGGAAAAGGACCTTGGAGTCCTGGTGGACAACAAGTTACCCATGGGGCAACAATGTGCCCTAGTGGCCAAGAAGGCCAGTGGTATCTTGGGGTGCATTAAGAATAGTGTGTCCAGCAGGGCAAGGGAGGTTCTCCTCCCCCTCTGCTCTGCCCTGGTGAGACCACACCTGGAGTATTGTGTCCAGTTCTGGGCTCCCCAGTTCAGGAGTGACAAGGATCTACTTGAAAGAGTCCAACAGAGACTAGAAGGATGATTAAGGGACTGGAACATCTGTCGTATGAGGAGAGGCTGAGAGACCTGGAACTGTTTAGTCTGGAGAAGGCTGAGAGAGGATCTTAGTAATGTGTATCAATATCTGAAAGGTGGGTGTCAAGAAGGACGGGCCAATCTCTTTTCAGTGGTGCCCTGAGATAGGACAAGGGGCAGTGGCTGCAACCTTGAACACAGGGAGTTCCACCTCAACATGAAAGCAGAAACTTCTTTATTGTGAGGGTGATGGAGCCCTGGGACAAGCTGCCCAGAGAGGTTGTGGAGTCTCCTTCTCTGGAGACTTTCAAGACCCATCTGGATGCCTTTCTGTGTGACCTGCCCCAGGTGATCCTGCTCTGGCAGGGGGTTGGACTTGATGATCTCCAGAGGTCCCTTCCAACCACTAACATTCTGTGATTCTGTGTCTGTGCCAGGAGGAGTGCTGGGGAGCTTCTGCATCTTTACACACCAAAATGCTTCTATAGCCTTTTACATTTATTTATTTTTTTAATTTTACCTCTTTCATTACACGTAGTGAAGAGGCTCTCAAAACACCCAGCAGAAGATGCTGAGAAATGGGAATATTTCAGAAAGAAAAAGGAAGTGATAACACATTTGTTGTTTCTTTCTTTTTTTTTTCTTCCTCTTTTTTTTTAGTTTCATTTGTTTGTGTTTTTTTTTGTTTTCACTTCAATTATCTTTTAAGTTAAGGAACTAGAATAATATGCCAGAGGTTGAGCCTTTAAAGAAGTGGCACAGATCCTTGGAACTGGTGGGTATCTTGTTCTTTGTATGTGTGCACGCTCGATTTAGGCTCATTGAAGGACCTTTAATTAGTTAGTCCCTTTTTATACCTTTTTCCAGTCATTCTGGTGTGACTATGA